GCGCCCCCGTGGCCCAGCTTTCGGAGCCACCGGCCCATGCAGTTCGGACCCCGGACCCCGCAGGGCTCCTTCTGGTGTGGGCGTGGGAACGGCACCGGGTGTCTGACCCGAGGGGTCTGCCCGGACCTGGGTTCGGCAAGCCCGGTCCTCGGGTTCTGGCTGGAGAAGAATTCAGAGCCCAGACTGAATTCTGGGAACGTCCCATTGGTAAGGGAACATCCACTTGGGAAACCAGAGGAGAAATGTGGGGTCTGCCCGGACCTGGGTTCGGCAACCCGGTCCTCGGGTTCTGGCTGGGGAAGAATTCAGAGCCCAGACTGAGTTCTGGGAACATCCCATTCGTAAGGGAACATCCACTTGGGAAACCAGAGGAGAAATGGGCTCAGGAGACAAGCTATGGAGGCGAAGGAAGGGCCCGGGGGCTTGGGAAGCGGAAGCTGATGGTGAACGCCTGGTGGGAGGAGGGAGAGGGAACGGCTGGGGGGAGGGGGTCCTCCTCCTGAGGGTTTAGCGTTAGGGGAGGTCCTGGGGGAAGGTCTCCGGAGGACATGGGTCTCGGTCTCCACGTGTGGTCGCAGTGAGGCCGACAGGAGCAGAGCCAGGACAATGGGCCAGTTGGAAGGTCGCCAGGGCAGACGGGCCGGACCGCTGGCCAAGGAAGGGAGCGGGGAGAGCAAGTCCTGGGCCCCTGAGACCCTCCCCCCGGGCACGCCCCGGGCACGCAGGTGGGGTCCTTCTGACCTCTCCTCCCCGCCACGGGGTGTCCTGTGCAGACCCCACCCTTCGAGAACCAGGGCTGGAGGGGAGGACCGGGCAGACCCATGGGTCAGTCTGCAGGAGAAAGCAGTCACCCCTCCGAGGGGTTAGAAGGAGCCCTGCCCACGCCCTGAAATCTCTCTTCAGGGGTCCTTTCTCTCTGCTCGCCCAGGAACCCTTCCAGCTTGAGTCTCGGCTCTGAAATCTTTTCTCAGCCAGAACTCAGGTAGGTCAGACATCTGGGTCGCCGGTCCGGTCGCTGGTCTGGTTTTACTGCTTTTCTGGGCCTGGAGCTGAAATACAACTGCGGCCTAGATGTTGTTAACATAAAACCATGGTCATCACCACCAAACCAGGATTATATGAAATGCTGAAAGGTATCCTTTAAGAAGAGGAAGAAGAAGAAAAAGGTAAAGATACAAATTATGAACAACAAATACACATCTATCAACAAGTGAATCTAAGAATCAAGTGAATAAATAATCTGATGAACAGAATAAACTGGTGAATATTATAGAATCAGGGGCATAGAAAGGGAGTGGACTGACTATTCTCGGGGGGGAAAGGGTT